CGGGGGGGGGTTGGTTGGGCCCATTGAACGATGTGGCTTGAAACCGTTAGCAGTGTTGTTCTTGTTGTCCTTTTTTTCAGCAATGCTTGTAAAAGGTATGTATAGGTATATTAGGCTGTGTTAACCATAGAGATTCACTTTCTTTTTCCCTCCCTCAAAATGGGTCCACTTCCCCCACCATCCACTTCACACACTTGCACTGTGTGTCCGTATTGTGAGGTAGAGAACAGGCTGCCAAGTTTGTTTCACTGTTTCTCAGCGTACAATGATTAACGGTCATCATGTTCCTCATTACATAAGTAAGTCAGTCATCACTTGGTGGCAGATTGGGAAATTGGTGATGATTTCGCCAACAAACTGTGGACGCGTTCCACATTCAGTCTTTTTTAACTTTGCTTGTTGACTGTGTGTCTGTCACACGACAGATTTGTGAATCAGCTGACGGAAATGATTATTTTAGATTTGGTTTGTAATGCAATCGTACTTCTTAATTAAGCATCAAAACTGTTCCCTTTTTGCTACTCATCAGGAAGGAGTTCACAACGAGAAACGGAGTTCATACGGTCACAGTTTAGTATTGGATCCTTGGGGCAAAGTACTGGCAGAACAGACCACGCCCGGACCTGGTTTGCTCATGTGTGAATTAGATCTGACCCCGTCCGATCCACTGCACTCTCAGTCTACCCTAACGCGAGTTCGACGTGCAATCCCCGTGGAACAACACCGTCGGATTGATTTATTCTCTTGTCCGGATGCAGGTCATTTATGTGGTACGTTCATAATATCCCGTTTTCCTTTAACACAACATTGGTGATACTCTTCTGTTGGCCTGAAGTGAAGACAAAATAAATAAAGCACTTGTTCGGTGAATGGACAGCCTACCATACTTGACTGTACATGCAACCGTTTGGTTGATGTTCTGGCGAGTCGCTAGCTACACCCACGATTTTAGATTGTAATTGTACACCATTCCAGCAGTTGTTATCGAATTTCAAGAGGCTTCATCACTATACTGGTTGCATAACCCCGCTGGCTGGTGGAGTTGTGATGGTTTGTGGGGACAGATATTCAATCTAGGCTTGCATCTATTTAATGACAATGACTACGAGTATTGATCAACGAATCGGTAATAGCCATATAATGAACACAGTAAAGATGTGCAATCGATAGCTTATCTTAACTTCGCTTAATCAAATTCTTTTTGGAATCTATATCGAACCGGGAAACTTCCTTGTAAATATTTTGTCACCTTCCGGTGACCTGCTTGGTGTTTATGGTATAATCATGAGTAACTTCTATTCACTCAGTAGCTAAATTTCATTTTTATTAAACACCTTAGTGTGATGAATAGCAGACAGAGAAAGCCCCATATTCACGGTGGAAACCGGTAACGTAAGACCCGGGACTTGGAGTGATGAACCACATAAAGCCGCGCTAATTCAGGTGTGGTATTGAACCGAGCGACAGCAAAGCTGCCCACCACCAAAGTTGTGTGGCGGTGGCGGAACTCTTCGGACCTCAGGGTTCAGAGTGCGCCAGTGACTGCGATTAAACCACTGCGCCACCACCACCCGTTTCTGGAGTGTTTAAAGATTGATCTTCCAGTGGATTTCACCCCGATCTGCCATCGAACTGTCCCAGAGAGAGAAAGAGCTTTTATCGTCTTGAGTGCTCCGATATTGAATTATGATATGATCTAGTCTTTGTCGTGTCATCAAGTTTTTGTATCCGATCTTCTCATACACGTGAAGCCATTCGCATGTCTTACCACTGCATTGCTGAGGATGGTGAAATTCTAAACACTGTGATGTGTATCATCCGTCCCGACTTGTGTTTCACCAACCAAAAATGCGATGGATTTCCCTCTTCATTTTCACGATGTAATTTCAGTTGTCACAAGTGGTGTCCGTCGATTGTGAATAGGTGCTTGCTGTCAACACTGATGAAGTGTTTCTTGCTGTCCGTTGAATTAATCTTACGGATGAGTTTACGGAGCTCATCATAGACAGGGCCGAGGGAAGCAAAAACAGAGATGCTGTACATCTATCTGTGTGGAATCTCATCAAGAATGCGGATTGCACAGCACCTTACGTCGAATTGGGTACTACATACATAGAACAAGTTTATCACCTAATGGATCATCGAGCTGATTACAAATCGGTTTTTGCTTATTTAAACGTGATACATGACACAATTCGTCTTCAAAACCTGATTCGAATTCGCTAACCTTCACTGGGCTTCCAGGCCGTGTGACGTAATCCGTTTTTATTTCGTATCGTTCAAAGGGTATTTTATGTTCTTCACAGTTCTCTAATGTTTTCAGTGTGCTATTGTTCTTTATTCCATGCGAATTCACACACACACACACACACACACACACACACAAATAGTCGTGAATGGTGATTGTGGTTCAAGTCTCATTTCCTTGGGGTTCATTGATTCTCCACGTCATGATACTCTGGTTGTCATATACGAATTTCTGCTAATGGAAACGGCAAAGTTTGACTAGGACCCAAGTGCCCCACTTAGATGAACCCATGAGAGCTTCAGTTCTGCTTTATCCAGGATTCATATCATGTGGTTCTTTTTAGCTCAGGCTCGTTCCTCGGGATTGTTCCACTCTGTAGAATGCACACGTGGATAAACTAGTTAAAAGCTGGAAACAGTTTCTACAACGTTATCATGTTTTCCTCCAATTATTCTCACGATGGTTTCAAAGAATGGGAATCTTAGATTTCTTCACAAAGTGAGTAAAATTGCCACGAACTTTTGATTTGTTTCGGTCAAACGGGGCGCGACTTACACGGAATTCTTTATCCGCTTGTTTTAACCAATCAGTTATTTTGGTCTTTTTATTCTTTTATCTTTACTAACCGAAACGGTCGGTACATTCACTATGGTCAACTTTGGCCCTTACCAACTATTACTTACGGCGATTGTTCATGCCTCTTACTTGATCCTGACGATTTTCCTTCAAATTAGCTTAAGTTAGCGCTAGTGAGTTTCAATTTCAGTTTGTGCAATCATTAACCATGCACCTTCGTGCACCGGTTTTGGTTGTTGTCTTTTGGATGCTGCCCATTTGGATGAACAGGAAAGGTTGAAAGTAAGATCGAAGAGAAAGTTGAAAAGTTCAATGGACTAATGATACAGAGAAATTGAGAAGATGCACGAATGCCACTGTTTACGACACCCAGCCATATCACTCAGTGTAGCTAACCATCGGGTACGACCATCCCGAGGTCTCAACCAGGGAGCCTAACGGCACTTATGTGACCCATTTGAGGTCCGGTGTTCAGTTCATCAGATCATGCACCCGTTAGACGGGATCAATCGTCCATGGTGCCCGATACCTTGATGTTGAATTGAATCGGTGAGCACTACTATGTCCAGGAAGCTGTGGGTGAATGTGGTTTGTACATCCCTTCTTGGTTGGATTGGAATCAGGGTTTTCCGCCAACTCCCCTCGGTGAACTGCCAGTGGTTCACCTACTCGGTTAGAACCCCGGATATTGAATTTTCATTTTCTCATTTTGGCGAGGGAAAACACCGCCCCACGAGAAAGCAACCAGTAGGGCTTCCTCGCAAAGCCATATACGACAAGCTTTGTTCTATTGGAGCATTTCACGAGTTGCAAGGGTGGGGGTGACCAGCCGCATCCTGAGCCACCCACTCCGACTATACTGAGGCTTTCGCAGGTAAGCACAATGTCGTATTCTGAAATCAACGCAGGCTTATTCTTTCTGTTTCAAAGGTATATCTTATGCTTCAGAGAGCCATGGTAGTCGTGTATCCGATCACTTTGGCAGTTTACTTAAGTGATCAATCCGGCAGTCTGTGTCCGACGTAGAGTCATCGTGTTCAGGAAGGACCAACCACTTAGCATACCATGCTTTTCCGTTGGCCAGTTTGTAGTTGTGTACATGCACGTGTGGTTATACGCACTAACCACAGTCATCTACTGGTTGTTATGTTTTCCAACATCGACTCCAGGGGGACCAATGTATCGTTCCGCAAACCTGACTTACACCCGGTATTGGCTTGCTCTACTGTCTGTAGAAAATCCTACCACTATGGTAGCCCGCGAACAGATGTACTCGCATGTGCATGAAGCATGCGCACGGCCTATTACACTTCGGTTTGTTTTGGATCACGCAGGGCGTACCATGGTAATTACCTTTAATTTTTAACTACTGCCTGTATCAGCAGTAGTCAAATGTAGATTTCAAATTTAGACTTCTAGGATAAGATTATTTTGAGCGGCTGGAGCTATAATACGCCGGCATACATCAAATGACCCATATCTTATGAAAAACCAACATACTCGGCTATCATCCCGAAACGGCCATCTTTTAGTGGGTTCCATTTTTGTTCTCGTTTTATCATAAACATGTTACGGTGGTCCCTTTTTAACCAAATCGTCACCTATCGGCTACTGATAAAGTACAAATCATTGCTCCATAAACCGATGCCCTTTCTGATTGACTGCGATTCTGACGAAGATTAAGGTCTAGTGTGGTGTTTATGTTTAAAAATTCCTAGCGATTGCTTCCTTTTGGGCACATTTATTCTTTTTTGAAAAACATTCTTTCTCTTGTTTATGTTTCAGATATCGGTACCGATGACTACCAATTCGGTCCACATATCATAAAAGCATCGTGTGTATTTTACCGGTCCGCAGAGAGCTTTGCTTTCGTCAATATCAGTCCACTTGTACCGGGACGTATCCTTTTTTCTCACCTTCCTCCCTCTCCTCGCTCACACTGAGGATTTTCCCCACTGTTTATTCTCAGCCGTTCACGTCAAACGTATTTTTGTCTAATCCGCATACACTTGCATATCCGACAGGTAAGTGAACGTTTAGACGCGAATGCCATAAGGATCATGTCGATCTCAACTCTCGTCACTCCCTCACTTGCTCCACGCTTTGGTGCACGCTCAGACACACACGCACACATTGCTCGATTCGGAGGATCAAGCTTACCATATCAATCTTCCAGGAGTATATGTACACAAGCATCCAATCAACACATCCTAACTTGGCGTACACTGGCCGTTAAAAAGGACTGCAGTCACTCAGTGGTTTGCATCCTTGCTCGAAATCATCCGCACGCTATATCTACCCGATTAACTAACCCTCCGATAGTTTCTGATACGAGAGCATGTTGGCGATACGCACTTCAATTCAAACAAAGTAAATTAGATCACTGGAGGGATACGGGTAGTACTGAGGTTCCCGTCGAGATCACTATTGGTATTTGCCTGTTGAGATTAACAAACGTTTCACTGGAATCGTACGTCAACAAATGCACATCAACCAAACTTTTCGTAGAAAGGGTTCTCTGGTTGGTTGATCGCAAAACGGGGCTGTAAATGTCTTATTGGATTATAATTTGATAACACCTTAAAATGGGGATAACTTACAAGCTCATGCTTCTCTCGTCCCATAGGTTCATGTTGTGGTTAAAAGACAAAGACGCACAAACTTTAGTCGAACTACTGTAGGCGAGTCAGATTGAAATGTATCAGAATATTATGAAGTCATCGAATTTTGAAATATTTTATTTTCTACAAATGTTGGTCTTGTAAAGCTTGGTTAAGAAATAAGATGCGTCCTAATGGCTGCAAATGTCACACCAAAGATTGATCGAAGGATGTTTAAACGATGTGCCCGACTCGTCAAAGTATTCGACACATCTCGTATGGCTTCGGCGTTTTCAGTGAACCAGTTTTTAATATGCCTAATTAATAAGTAAATCAAAAACGCTCACCTGTTTGCATTTGATGAAAACCTCTTCCAGTGGGTTAAAATGG